ACAATCCTAATTTCTAACACCGTGGATTACTTTTGCCTATTTTTGAACATTTTGTATTGTATGTCTGATTTCCTCACTTTACACGATTTGCTTCGTTTTGTTTTGTTTTTTCGAGATGGAGTCTCACTCTGTCACCCAGACTGGAGTGCAGTGGCGTGATTTTAGCTCAATGCAACCTCCACCTCCTGGGTTCAGGCAATTCTCCTGCCTCAGCCTCTCGAGTAGCTGGGATTACAGGTGCGCACCACTATGCCTGGCTAATTTTTGTATTTTTAGTAGAGAGGGGGTTTCACCATGTTGGCCAGGTTGGTCTCGAACTCCTGACCTCAAGTGATCTGCCCGCCTCAACCTCCCAAAGTGCTGGGATTATAGGTGTGAGCCACTGCACCCGGCCAGACAATGTTTATGAGATTCATTAATATTATTGTGTGTAGTTGACGATGGTTCGATTCTCATTGCTATATAGAATTCCATTGTGTGAATATACTACTTTTTAAAAACATCCATTCCACTACTGGCGCGTTTGGGTAGTTCCAGAGTTTGTCTATTATGAGAATTATTGCTGTGAACATCTTTGTGCATGTCTTTCAGAGCACATTATCTCATGTACATTGCTGTCGGGTAGATGCCTGGGAGCAGGTTTTCTGGGCGTGCATATGTTCAGCTTGGGTAGCTGTTGCCAAACAGTTGTCCAAAACGGTCATATGAGATTTGTAGTTGCTCTACTTTTTTGCCAATACTTGGTATGTTTTATTTTTTTTCATTTTAGCCATTCTAGTGCATGTGTCATAGTAGCATATTGTAGTTTTAATTTGCATTTCCTGGCTGACTAATGAATATAAACACCTTTTCATGTGTTTATTGGCTGTTTGGACAGCCTCTTTTATGAGATGCCTACTTAAGTCTTTTGTCCATATTTTTATTCAGTTGTGTGACTTTCTTACTGACTTACAGGATTTCTTTACATGTTCTTTTTTTTTTTTTTTTTTTTTTGAGATGGAGTCTTGCTCTGTCATCCAGGCTAGAAAGCAGTGGCATGATCTCGGCTCACAGCAATCTCTGCTTCCTGGGTTCAAGCGATTCTCCTGCCTCAGCCTCCCAAGTAGCTGGGATTACAGGCATGCGCCACCATGCTCAGCTAATTTTTGTATTTTTAGTATAGATGAGGTTTCACCAGGTTGGCCAGGCTGGTCTTGAACTCCTGACCTCAGGTGAGCCTTCCAAAGTGCTGGGATTACAAGCGTGAGCTACAGCACCCAACCCTTTACGTATTCTTGATACAAGTCCTTTGTCTTTGTTAACAAGATGTTTACAAGATGTAAACATATTGTAATTATCCACTCCTGCTCTAAAGATTACTTCTTCATTGTTTTTTTTTTTTTTTTTTTTTTGAGACGGAGTCTCGCTCTGTTGCCCAGTTCTGGGAGTGCAGTGGCATGATCTCAGCTCACTGTACTCCACCTCATTGGTTCAAGCATTCTCGTGCCCTCAGCTCTTGACTAGCTGGGATTACAGGCGCCCACCACTATGCCCAGTATTTTTTGTATTTTTAGTTAGACATGGGATTTCACCATGTTGGCCAGGCTGGGTCTGCGACTCCTGGACTTAAAGGGGATCTGCCCTGGCCTCAGCCTCCCAAAATTGCTGGGATTACAGGGCTTGAGCCATCCGTGGCCCGCCTCATTCTTTTTTTAATCATCAGCCAAAAAAAAAACTCTTCATCTCTTTTTTTTTTTTTGTGATGGAGTCTTGCTCTGTTGCCCAGGCTGGAGTGCAGTGGCGCAATCTCGGCTCACTGCAACCTCCGCCCCTCCAGATTTAAGCAATTCTCTGCCTCAGCTTCCAGAGTAGCTGGGATTACAGGCGCGTGCCCGGCTAATTTTTCTGTATTTTTAGTAGAGACGGGGTTTCACCATCTTGGCCAGGCTGGTCTTGAACTCCTGACCTCGTGATCCACCCACCTCGGCCTCCTAAAGTGCTGGGATTACAGGCGGGAGCCACCGCGCCCGGCCAACTCTTCATTCTTTTAATGATTACCTTTATGTGAAAAAAATTGTTACTTTTGATATAATACAGTTTATCAAATTGCTCTTTTATGATTAGCCCCTTTGTGTCTTTTGTTTGTTTGAGACAGGGTCTTGTTCTGTTGCAAAGGGTGGAGTGCAGCGGCACAATCATAGCTCAATGTAGCCCCAAACTCCTGAGCTCAAGCAATCCTCCTGCCTCAGCCTCCTGAGTAGCTGGGACCATAGGCATGAGCAGCCATACCCAGCCACCTCCATATGAATTTTGGAATGATTTTTTCACAAAAACAACCTACTGGGATTTTTAACTAGGTTTATGTTGAATCTGTAGCTTAGGAAGAATAAATTATTTCATAATATTCAGTCTTCCAATCCATGAATATGCTATATCTCTGCATTTTTTTCCTCTTACATTTCTTATTATGAAAATTTCAAACATATAGAAAAGCAGGAAGGATTATAGTACAACTAATTCTGTACATTCATCATCTAGATTGAATAGTTGTTGATAGTGTGTCTTATTTGCGTATATATGTGTGTGTGTATATATATAAAATAACAAAAATTAGCTGGGTATGATGGCATGTGCCTATAGTCCCAGCTATGAAGGACGCTGAGTTGGAAGGATCATTTGAGCCCAGGAGTTCCGGCTGCAGTGAGTGTGAGCCAGGATCGCTCCACTGCACTCTAGCCAGGGTGACAGAGTGAGACCCTGTCTCTAAAAACGAACAAAAATTAGGGAACAATTGGCCAATTTGCTCTTCTCAAACTATTTCATAGTAAATTATAGACATCATAGATACTTTACCCATAAATATTTCAACATATATCTTAAAAGTCTAAGGATAGTCTCCTATATAATCACAATTCCATTATCATATCTAAGAAAATTAATTGTTCCCTAATTTTTTTTTTTTGAGACGGAGTCTCCAACTGTCGCCTAGACTGGAGTGCAGTGGCACGATCTCGGCTCACTGTAAGCTCCACCTCCCGGGTTCAAGTGATTCTTCTGCCTCAGCCTCCTGAGTAGTTGGGACTACAGGCGTCCGCCGCCACATCCGGCTAATTTTTTGTATTTTTAGTAGAGACGGAGTTTCACCATGTTGACCAGGATGGTCTCGATCTCCTGACCTCGTGATCCGCCTGCCTCAGCCTCCCAAAGTGCTGGGATTACAGGTGTGAGCCACCACACCTGGCTGATTGTTCCCTAATTTTTGTTTGTTTTTAGAGACAGGGTCTCATGCCCTCACCCTAGCTAGAGTGCAGTGGAGCAATCCTGGCTCACACTCACTGCATCCTGGAACTCCTGGGCTCAAATGATCCTTCCACCTCAGCATCCTTCGTAGCTGGGACTATAGGCACATGCCATCATATCCAGCTAATTTTTGTTATTTTTTATAAAGATGGGGTCTTCCTATTTGCCCAGGCTAGTCTTGAACTCCTGGGCTCAAGCACACCTCCCATCTTGGCCTTCCAAGGTGCTGGGACTACAGGCATGAGCCACCGCATTCAGCCTGTTTCCTAGCTTTTTTTTTTTTTTTTTTTTTTTGAGACCGAGTCTAGCTCTGTTGCCCAGGCTGGAGTGCAGTGGCATGATCTCAGCTCACTGCAAGCTCCGCCTCCCAGGTTCACGCCATTCTCCTGCCTCAGCCTCCCAAGTAGCTGGGACTACAGGCGCCCGCCACTACGCTCGGCTAATTTTTTGTGTGTGTGTTTTTAGTAGAGATGGGGTTTCACCATGTTAGCCAGAATGGTCTCGATCTGACCTCATGATCCGCCTGCCTCGGCCTCCCAAAGCGCTGGGAGTACAGGCATGAACACCGCGCCCAGCCCTAGTTTTTAATCTATAGTCAGATTTCCACAGTTGCCCTCCAAATGTCTTTCGTTGCTTTTTGTTTTGTTTTGTTTTCAAAATAAGATCCATGATGTATTGCATTTCTTTATGTCTCTTAAATCTCTTTTAATTTAGAATCATCTCCTCTCTGCCTCTCTCTCTCTCTCTCTTTTTTTTTTTTTAAGACAGGTTCTGGCTTTGTTGCCCAGGCTGGAGTGCCGTGGTGTGATCTTGACTAACTGCAGCCTTGACCCTCTGGGCTCAAGTGATCCTCATGCCTCAGCCTCCCAAAGTGCTGGGATTACAGGCGTGAGCTACTGCACCCGACCTCCTCTCTCTTTTTATAAATGACATTGACTTTTGTTAGAGATCAGGCCAGCAGTCTTGTAGATGTCTGATGTTCTAGATCTGACTTTTTCCTCATCGTGTTACTCACTTTGTTCCTCCATCTCCTGAACTTCCTGTAAACTGGGACATAGGTCTAGGCTTGATGAGATGCAGATAAACCTCGCTGGCCAGGCACGGTGCCTCACTCCTGTAATCCTGGCTGTTTGGGAAGCCGAGGTGGGCAGATCACCTGAGGTCAGGAGTTCGAGACCAGCCTGGCCAATGTGGTGAAACTCTGTCTCTACTAAAAATACAAAAGTTAGCTGGGCATGGTAGCACACTCCTGTAATCCCAGCTACTTGGGAGGCTGAGGCATGAGAATCACTTGAACCTGTGAGGTGGAGGTTGCAGTGAGCCGAGATCACGCCATTGTACTCCAGTGTGGGCAACAGCATGAGACTCTGTCTCAAAAAAAAAAAAAAACAAAAAACAAACAAAAAAAAAACCTCACTAAGCTTTCTGGGGTCTCTTTCTCTGACAGCCCTTCTTAGAGTGGGTAAGGCCGGCAGGTGTATGAACAAGTATGTAAAGTTTTAGCATAGCGCCTGGTACAGAGGCAGTCTCAGTACATGGTGGCAGCTCCTAATACTTGTCCCTGCCTTAGGCCAGACATTTTACTCCAATGTTTGTTCCTGGGAACCTGTTACCCTGACGATTCTCCTGGACTGGCCAGGCAGCAGTAGCTTTCCCCTGCTGGGGATCTGGGCCCTGGGCTGCCTTGGCCATTCCCCGTCTTTCTCTCCTCCTGCCCTCAGACAACACAGGCAGTTCTACATACCGGCCGCCCCCTCGGACCCGGGAGGTGCTGATCAATGGGCAGATGGTGAAGCTAAAGTACTGCTTCACCTGCAAGATGTTTCGGCCACCCCGAACCTCACACTGCAGTGTCTGTGACAACTGTGTGGGTGAGTAGGAGGCGGCAGGGAGGGATGCAGGGATTCCTGAGAGAGACTGAGTCCTGGGGGTGGGGGGACGTCACGCATGGGGATGGTGTGGGCAGGGTCTGAAATACCCAGGGCTGGGCAGGGGGACTGGTTCACCCAGATTTGCCCTGACTCAGGAGGGCCCAGGGGAGGGGCCCTCAGCTTCACCAGGAGTGTTTTGGCTTCAGCTCTGGATTGGTGGATTCCTTCCCCCAGCTCGGAGGTGCGGGGCAGACAGAGGGGCCTTGAACCCTTCTCCCAAGCTTCAGCCCGGTCCTCAGGAAGTCAAAGCTCCCAGGAAACAGACTGAAATAATAACATTCCAGATGTGTTTGGGCCAGAAAGAATGATTTACTGTCCAGTGGCCCAGGGCACCAGCTGTACTGAAAGACTTTGATCTGATTCCCAGGGTTGAGAGGGACAAGCATCTGGGAAGAGAGGCATTTAAGCTGATGAGGTGCAGAGGATGTCACCACTGGAAACGGCTCCTGACCCTACAGCTGCCTGCAGTGGTTGTTTTGTCCCCTCTCCCTGCCCTCCAGAGGCTGTGTAGTTGTGACGGGCACCAAGGGTGGTCCCCTGGAAGGGTGCTGTAAGGGAAACGCTGCGTGAGAGGGCGCAGGTGAGCTGAGCCACAGTGACTGTGCACAGTTCCCAGGGCAGTGAGATCATCATGCCAGCTCAGTACTCCCTGAGCAAGAGAACAGCAGGGAGCACCCCATGACGGCATGCAGCAAAGGGGGTGACTCAGTGGGCACCATTCATCCCCGAGGAGCTGCCCCGCCCACCCCCTGCAAAGGGCGCTGGCCTTGGCATGAGGCCTGCAACGGGCTTGTGACCCACATTCCCACAGGGACTTCCTTTACCAGAGTCTGGGTGTGCCTCCACCCCCGGGGACAGTGTGCAGGTGAGCTCAGCCCTTTAACCTGGCCTGTGATGCTGGCTGGCTGTGAACCACATTGCAGCCCAGCCCCTCCCTGGGCCGCTAGTCCTAGAGCAGGGGATAGGGGTTATTGACTGTTAGCATGTGGTTGGGATGGTAGACCACGTGACAAGTACTTTTGTGAGTTTTTGTGCCGGCGCTGCTCCGGATCTTGGGGAGTCAGCATGGTGTGAGACCAGCACAGCCCCCCTCGCCCATGGAGCTTACAGTCAAGTAGGGCTGATTGGCCAATCCAGTAATTATAAATAAGCATAAAAGCACACATGTGCAGAGGGCCACAAAAGAGAAGTGATGGGGCAGATAACAGGGCCCCCCCATCTAGTCTGGGATTGGAAGAGACTTTCTTAAGAAGGTGGTTTTGCAGCTGAGACATGGAGGAGAAGTTCCAGTTAGCCAGGTAAAGAGACAGGAGAGAGTGTATCAGGCAGTGGGAACTGGTACACAAAGGACCAGAGGCAGGTGTGTCCAAGGCCTGGGAGCCAGCTGGTGCTGTGAGAGTGAGCGGAGTAGGAAAACACCAGCCATGGTTGAGGCTGCCAAATGCCTGTGCTGGCTGCAGGCCAGCCCACACTAACCCATCGCCCCTTGCCCTTGTCCAGAACGATTTGACCATCACTGCCCCTGGGTGGGCAACTGTGTGGGGAGACGGAACTATCGCTTCTTCTACGCGTTTATTCTCTCCCTCTCATTCCTGACGGCCTTCATCTTCGCCTGCGTGGTCACCCACCTGACGTTGCGTGAGTTGGGGGTGAGGGCAGCGGGGGAGTGGAACGGGCCAGCCAGCAAGCTCAAGGGTCAGCAAGCTTTAGCAGTCACTGTCCCTCTGAGCTTGTCCTCTCCTGTTTCTTTCTCCCCAGGTGCTCAGGGAAGCAACTTCCTCTCCACTCTGAAGGAGACACCAGCAAGATATCCTTTGTCAGCTAGAGGACACTCCAGTGGGAACTGAGGTCCCTTCACTGGGTGGGTCCCATGCCTCATCCTCTAATCAGAGGGGAACAGCATACAGCTCACATGTGTCCTCTAGAATCCAGTGTACCAGCTCCTCTGTTCACACCCAGGCAAGAGCTGATTCTACATGGGGCATTGTGGGGCCGGGGGTCCCCGTCTTCAGGGGCCTGGAAGAGAGTATGTCCCTTAAGATGCCAAGCTCCCTGGACCGTGTCATGCCTGAGGCTCTTTATGATTGGAACCCTTAGTTTTGTCTGCCGTCTGTCACTCTCACCTTGTCTGGCTCTTGAGTGGGGTCCTGACCTTCCGTGGAGCCCAGGAGGTGATCCTGCTAAGAAGTAGAGACTGGGCCACAGGAAGGTTCCAAAACTTCTCAGCTCTCTGGGGAAACAGCTTCATGGAAGGATAGGTGAGACAGACCAGGCTGGGAGGCTCCCCACCCTCCACCCATTTAGGTCCTTAACTGCCTCACCGTGCTGGAGTTGGTCATCTGCTTCTTCTCCATCTGGTCCATTCTGGGCCTCTCAGGGTTTCACACGTACCTCGTCGCCTCCAACCTGACTACTAATGAAGACGTGAGTAAATCTGGAGCCACCCCTCATTCTAGGGCAGCGCCCTCAGGAGGAGGCAGGGCTGAGGGAGCCTGGGGCAGCCAAGCGCAGTCCTGACTCAGGGACTGCTGGGAAAACGCCTGTTAAGCAGCCAGATGCCTCCCAGTCCTCTCAGCTTGGCCCTGGTGGGTCCGATGCAGGCTTCTGAGACCTCCACATGCTTCATTCTCTCAGTGCGGGCTCTCGAGGCCCCAGGTTGCTTTTCTTCACAGCCCCGCAGGAGGCAGTGCCCATACCACAACACACATGATGTTTGGCTGGCACATGACCGCTTACGGAATTCTTTCCATTCCCGTCATCTCTTTGGGTCCTTTTGCCAAGCCTGAGGCAGAAAGGACAGGGATGCTTTTTCCCCATTCGATGACTGAGAGACATGTCCCCTGTCTGGGAGGTCACACAGCTGGGAGGGGACAGAGCCAAGGTCGGTGCCCAGTCAGGTACTCTCCCTCTTGCACACTGCCCCTGTCAGCAGCAAAGCCGTGACTGTTCTCAGGGTGTCACCGGCCTGTCCTGGCTGCCCCTCTTAATATGCACACCTGGGGGAGACAGGGGACAGGCCAGTGGGTTCCACTGACCCTCCCTACCTGGCACCCTGCAGACTGCCATCAACAAGCATGTTTGATGTGCCCAGCCCTGGGCCAGACCTGACTTCCCCTCGCCATCCTCCAAACACTAAAAAGCAAATGAGAGCATCTGTTTCAGGGCCCACCATCAACCCATCCTCCAACAGAAAATACATTCCCAGACCTCATCCTCTCATTCAGGGAAACAAAACTTAACACACATGACAGGGCGTTGTGTGCTTGGTGATCGGTGAGAACAGAAATGCCATCAGCCAGCATCTCCCTCTGTAGCTTCTTGGGTGCCAGTTCTGCAACACATTACCAGAGGTTAAAGAGAAAGGAGTGTGTGGCCAAATAAGTGTAGAAAGCTCTAGGTATTTAGAGCTCTAGCTCTAGGTAATACCTCTAGGTCAAAGTATTCTTTATTGCTAAACTCTCCAGTGCCTTCCATAGCTTGGCTTCACAGAGCTAGAGAATCTGGCAAAGATTAATCTAATGCCCTGGCAATGCCATCTGAGAATTAGTATTATTTTCCCTATTTTCCACATGATGACTCAGGCTCAGCAAAGTGGTGATCTGTCCAGGTAGCATAGCCAGTGAGTAGCAGGGCTGGGGCTCACAGGCAGGTCAGCCCTCGCCCTGTGCCCCTGCACTACCCTCCTTCAGAAGCGGTTGGCCAGAGAAGGGAGGAGTCATCCGAAAGGTTTCCTCTGGTGCTTCTCTTGGGCTCTGCTCTGTCATCTCCTCTTTGGGGCCTCCTGATCTCTGCCAGGGGTCCCCCACACCCTCATTGAATGGCCCACATGAAAGACATGTCCCCTTCTCTAACCAGAATTGGTTTTGGAATTGACCAGCTGTCCCCAGCCCCTAGACCTCCCTCCTAGAAAAGTGAAGCAAAAGGAGGCACTTGACCCAGGCCTCCTTCCTGCTTGCAGATCAAAGGCTCGTGGTCCAGCAAGAGGGGCGGCGAGGCCTCTGTCAACCCCTACAGCCATAAAAGTATTATCACCAACTGCTGCGCTGTGCTGTGTGGCCCCCTACCTCCCAGGTAAGCGAGTGGGGTACAGAAGAGGGGTAACAGGGCCAGGCCTGGCCAGTGATTAAAGTGTTCCTGGATATCAGCCGACCTCCCCCTATACCCTAGATGCCCTCCATCCACCACCCTCTGGAGGGCATTTGTCATGTGAAGGAATTCCATGGAGAATTGTTATTTAATCACGTGCTCATTGTAGAAAAAAAAATTAAGTACAAAATGTAAAACAGAAGAGCATTGGATATGACATGTAATCCTGCTCCCTGGGGATAACCACCATGACTGTTTCAGCCACACTTGAATGACACTGCCCTTCCAGTTGCCCACTGCACGGACTGGGTGGCGACTCTATCCTTTCCTGGCAGTGGGAACCCTGGGGACTCAGCCCTGCTGGGACGCTCCCTGTTCATCCCGACACCAGGGGGCACCAGAGAGCTCCAGAACGGGATTAAATTGCTGTAGGCACTGCCAGAACGAGTCATTCCCACATAGTCATGTCCCCTGCCCCACCCAGTATCCCTGTCACCCAGCCTGCCTAGAGGGGAAAGGAACACAGGAATCTCATAGTCACCAAATACCTGTTCATCCTTGCTTTCTCCCGTCACCTGCAGCCTGGCTTCTTGGCAGCCAGACAGGTGGGCCAGTTGGAATTAATAGTAAATACATTCTGTGGCCAAAAGCCAGGTGGCCAGAGGGCAGAGAGAGGCCTGCCAGAGGTAAGGGTTTTTGGCCCCCAGATGGGGAGCAGCTGTCCTTTCCTCAGCCTTTCTTGGCCTGGGCCTTTCCTTGGCTGAGATAGACTCTGCCGTCCAGCCGCTGGCCTGGAGGCTCAGGGTCGGACAGAGCCCTCATGTGTCCCTCTTGTGTTTTGGAAGCCTGATTGACCGGAGGGGATTTGTGCAGTCCGACACCGTGTTGCCCTCACCCATCAGAAGCGATGACCCAGCCTGCAGAGCCAAGCCTGATGCCAGCATGGTAGGAGGCCACCCCTGACCATGGCTCAGTACTTGCCACCTGCTGGCCTGTCTGCCCCTCCGCACTCATCTGCCGGGACCCTTCCTGTTCCATCCAAGGGAAGCAGAACTGCCAAAGACTCAAGTCTTTTCATATTTATTTCCCCCCCTGCGTGGCTTTCCCTGAACTGTTCCGTGGCTGTGCCCTCTGCTCCCCAAACCCAGGTTCCCACAGCCTTGGGCCCTAGGTCCCCCTAGCTGATCAGTGCCAGGAGAGACCAGAGCCTCTGGAGGCCACCCAGGGGACAACACCAAGTCCTTGCCTGTGCCAGGCGAGCCCTGTGTGAGTGAGGCTGTGAACTGAGCGTGAGACCTCCCAGGTGGGGGAACTGCTTGGGCCTTGCTGAGCCAAGGTCCTCAAGGTGAAGCAGGACGGAGGAGCGGCCAGCTCTGGACAGAGGGCTGTGGAGAGGAAGCCTCTATGGGCTGCTTTGGTCTGTGGGCTCCTTCATTCTCTTGGTGATAATTGCTCTTTCTTCTTTGGGATTTTTGGTGGGGTTTTTCCCCCCTTTTTTTAATGGAGTTGGCCAATAGGATAGAGCTGGGGTTCCAGTAGAGAAGGCAGGGTTGGTGGTGGGTGGGGGCAGCCTCTATCAGACCAAGGTGAATTACCCAGCCAGGCACCCACAGCCTCAGCTCCTGTGCAGGTCCTGGGCAGCACAGTGGAAGTGCGAGCCTGGTCCCTCCCCTGCCCGTGGCGAGCTCTTTAAGGGATCCCAGCCTGCCCCTCCACCTCTCTCCCAAGCCAGGTCCGGGCATGGGTGGGTTATGCTCATGCTGGCAATACTTGAAACGGGTTTATTAATGCTGGGTATTTTGCACAATTTTATAGACCTCTTTTCTACATAGTCTTTTTTTAAATGGAAGGAGAAAAGGTCAGCCACATTACTGTCTGTGTAGTGCCAGGTAAAAGGTTATCAGAAGGCTGGTTGGTTTTAATAAGTTTATTCCAAGAGACCTTCTGACTGGAATGAGTGAGAGTGTGTGTGCATGTGTGTGTGTGTTCGTGTGTGCCCTGTACGAATGTGGCTGGCTCCCATATCCCCTGGGCTGCCCCCTGCCCCCTGCCCTATCCCCTTTGAGTGTCAGAAGCACTCTGAGCCAAGGGGACAGGGGGCACGTGCATTGGTCACGAGAAAACCCTGGGCTCCCACTGGGGCTCAGCCCAGCCTCCTATCTTTCCTTCTTCTGTGGACTTCAGACAGCCAGTGTCTGGGGACTCTGCCACTCTACCCCCAGCCCTACCCTCCAGCCCCCAGGTGAGGCTTCCAGCTGGGACCTGCCCAGGCAGGCTGAGCCTGGGTGTGGTGGGTGGGGTGATGGCTCTGGGGAGTGGCTGCCGTCCTACAAGCCACACCCCCTCCTCTGAGCTCTGAATATGGGACCCAGTGCCGGGAGCCGGAAGACAAGGTGTTTCTGCCAAGCGGGGACCTCCATCCAGAGAAAAGGAAGGAAGGTGCAGGGTGGGCCAAGAGGCAAGTGAAGGTTGGCCTAAGTCTGGGCCGGAAACTCAGAGGATGTTTCTCCTCTGCTGGGAGCTATAGTTTCTTATCAAAATAGATATTGTCCCACCATCCCCTTCCTTGGCTCTTCAAGTGGGCTGAAGCCCTTGGAAAGTGACATAGGAAGTCCCCAGATCTTGCCCGTCTCACTCCAGAGGCCAGTGGTCACAGACAGCTGGGAATGGCAGCCACAGAGGGTCCCGTCTGGGAGAAACAGCTTCATTCACCCCAACCTCAGGGCCCTGGGCCATCACTGCAGTGGCCCTGGGAGGTGAGGAAGAAGCTGGCTAGAGGACGGGGCTCCCATCTACCTTTTATTTAAGCCAGTATTCTTTGTTCCTGCCTGTAATAAAACTTTAGTTTATAAGAGTTGATTTGCTTTGGTTTGGTTTTTGTTTGCTTTTCCTTTACTGAGGCCCCAGCTGGCAGCCCTCTGTTCTTTCGGACAAAGTTGGTTATTTCCTGGGGAGACTGTGCGAAGGCAGGCAGCCCAGTGATCTGACTACATCTTCCCTCACCTGGCTGGAGCTCTGTCCGCCGGAGGCAGAGCAGAGAGGGCTGTGGCTGAGCCCCCATGGGCACGTGAAAAGAGGCCATCCTGTCCCCTCTTTGTCCCCTCCACCTTCCCCTGCCTCAGGGGCTTGGAGACCCCCAAATTCTTCTTCCCTACTGCCTTTCCACTCCGATCCCCAGTGAGTGCTCAGCTAAGAAAACGTTTGAGACGGTAGATTCCAGTTTGAGAGCCGGAGCTTCCCTGGCTACCATCTCCAACCTGGGCAGCAGGGCCCAGCCAGACAACTCATAACACTGGCCCACCTCTCTGGTATCTCCCTCAGGAGGACACCTGTCAGGATTTTGCCATCTCCTGCACAGCCTGAGGGGAGCTAACAGGTCTCTTTGCAGAGGGTTAGCTGGTAAGACCATTTCTCCCCTGTCGGCCAGCACTGCCCGCTCCCTTCACACACCATCTCATCTTCATCGCATGCCTCGCCAACCCCATGGAGCCCGTCCATCTGTCTGGTGTGTGGTGCGGTGTGTGTGCTGGTGGTGGTAGGGTCTCCAGGGATTCCCTGCTAAGCAGAAGGATCGGGATATAGGGCCAGGCTAAGAGCCCAGCCCCACTGTGGACTGAGGAGGTAGCTTCGCGCAGAGCAGCTCTCCAGCTGGAAGAGGAGGGTGAGGGTGAGGCTGGGGGAGAGGATGGCGAACCTGCCCTGAGGTGCTTGGGTCTGTGCTGGTGGAGTCCTGGTATGCAGGGGCCACCAGTCACTAACGCTCTTGTGTCCTGGCTTTCTGTCCCCGCTGAGCTTTCTCTCACCTGCCCGTTTTCTCTCCTGCTTTGTTGCCTGCTGCCTGAGCCTTGCTTGCCCCTTTTCTCAGGGAGAGAGGCAGGTGCTGTGGCAGCACCTGTCCCCACCACCGGGGCCCCTGCAGGCCGCCTCCCTCCTCCCAACCCCGCTAACCCTCTCTCTTCTCCTTCTTTGCTGTCCTGCCGGGGATCTCCAGTGTGTGCGGGGGCTTAAAGACCTCCTGAGGACCGCTGCTCTCTGCCTCTCCAGGAGTGGCCTGGGGGGAGCCAGGCACCCGGCACCTCCACCTGCCTAACCTGTGGCCCATCTGCCACCATCTGTGCCTACAGGGTCTGCCCCCAAGCCTGCCCGGCCTGTGTGCTCTCTAGGACCCCCATAGGGGGCAGGGGCTGGACTCTGCCCCACTCCCGCTCCATGCCGGCCAGAGTGTAGAAAGCCATAACGCAGCCATCAGCACAATAATGTGACTCTATGCTGAAATGCTCCCTCTCTCTTCCACTGACTTCCCCTTCCCCGGATTTGTGAGGTGTCAAGACTCTAGAAATCTGGCCTTACAGCCTGTCCCTCCACCCCCTCAGATCAGGCATAGCCATAGTCAAGCCCAGCAGGTTTCCTCAGGAACTGTCTGGGGTGTTGATGGTGGATGACGCTGCTGAACAAGTTTGGTGACTGTTCTAAGCACAACTGTCTTGACACTGTTCCCACGGCCTGTCCACCTCCCACCCCCAACCCTCCACCGGAGTAGGTAAGATGTAGGGAGGGTGCGTGCCTCCTTTGCTCTAGGCACCGAAGGACCGAGCCAGCTGTGCACAGCCCCATATGCTTCAGGGGACTAAAGGAAACAGCTGGTCCAAGGAAAATCAGCTGAGCCCAGGGCTGGGGGTTGCTTGTCTGCTATCCTGTACGTTTTTTTAACCAAAATAAAGATTCCCCTTTTCTTGCCATACCATTGGCTGTCTGGTGCCGCCTTTACTTTGGGGCCCAGGGATGGGACCTGTAGTGGGCGTGCAGAACATATGGCTCCCCCTGGCTCCCAGCTTTCTTCCAACTGGCCAGTGCTGCTCTGGAGATTTAAAAGCACAACAAAGCCAGCAGGCACACAGGAAAAGTGGTTGGCATCCTTTTCACTCTGCCCCTCCAGAACTCTTGGTCTCAATTCCAGACACCACCCAGCCTTAGCTGACCTCTGGTTTCGGAAAGGTCCCAGCGCAGGCTGAGACAGAGAGTTGTTAAGTTTGGGACTGCCATACCCATGAACTGAGCCCAGCCCAGGGTAATGATCTCATGGAGCCTTCACTCTCCCCAGCTGCTGCCCCACGTCAAGATACACACATGTGCATACACGGTACTATGAGCCAAAAAATAATTACCGCTACCATTCAGCAAGGGCTTGCTGAGTCCCAGGAGGGACTCTTGTCCGCCAGAGGCAGGCAGAGAGGGCTGTGGCTAAACCCCCATGGGCACATGAAAAGAGGCCATCCTGTCCCCTCTTTGTCCCCTCCACCTTCCCCTGCCTCAGGGGCTTGGAGGCCCCCAAATTCTTCTTCCCTACTGCCTTTCCATTCCGATCCCCAGTGAGTACTCAGCTAAGAAAACGTTTGAGATGATAGATTCCAGTTTGAGGAGGATGATGTCACCCTTTTTACAGATGAGGGAACTGAGACTCAGGGAAGAAACAGGAGCTGCCCAAGGTCACCCAGCTGGCAAAGCAGCAAATCCCAGATCGGAACCTGATCTCTGCCCCGAGCTCTGAGCCATCTGCACTACCTAAGGAATGAATACAGCAGTGGGAGGATGAGATCTTGGAGAAACCCTAAAATTAGAGAATGTCATAGCCAGTAGAGGGCTTAGAGTTGATCTGGGCCAGCCTCCTTGTTTTACTGATGGGGAAATTGAAGCCCAGAGGCAGGAAGGGACCTGCCCAAGGCCTTACAACAGAGCTGGGATGCAGTCCCACACTCTGACCTCATTCCATTCTCTCTTCATAAATTCCGCACTGTCTCTAGACTGGACTGGTTTAGATGTGGGATACTCTAAACAGCAGTGCCTTCAAAAGAAAAAAAATCGGAACCACTAATTACTTAAAAGTAATGTAGGCTACTCTGGGCACACTGCCTATGGGGTCGCCCTGCTCCACAAGGAGCAGTAAAGATAATAAATATAATTGAATATCCCTTCCCAAAGGCAACTAGTAAAGTGAGCCCTTGGCTAGGTAACTGCACTTTTGTTCACAACTAGCCAGTGGGAAAAGGTGCTAGAGCTTCCTCTGGCCACCTGTTTAATTTGATCATTCCAAGACGGAAACATTTCTCAGGAAGTTCTTTCTAGAATCTACCTGGCATCCCTCCCATTGCTATCAGAGCCCTGTCCTCTGTCCTCAGTGGAGGTAGACAGCAAATGGTTGCTGCCTTCATCACAACCCTTCAAAGCCTATTATTACCAGCTAAGAAGGATTGGTTGACTATGGGGCTAGAGCCCTTAAGCCTGCTGGTAGAATGGATGCTGTACAGGAGGAGGGTGGGGAGGTAGCAAGCAGGATGAGGATAGCCCCTTTGGGCTGCAACCCCAGCTCCTGTCCTGCTGACTCAGACAGCTGACTGTGGAGCTCCATGCCTTGCCAGGGCCTGCTGCCTCCTGCCCGTCTGAGCTCCTGAACTTGGGAAATGGAGGCCCGGAGGCAAAGGGAGGTACCTGAGACAGGAACTGAGTCAGGATCAACAGGCCAGAGCGGGCAGGAGGTGTCAGGCAGCCTGGCTCCCAGATGCACCCCTGAGCTCCAGCAGGGGAGGAGTAGGAATGAAGGGGCTTCCCTGCCCTTGCTCATGGCTATGCGGAGGGCGTGAACCACCACCAGGTCCCCTGGCTTCAGTGGCAGAAAGCAAATGGTCCCTCCCTGGACTCAAGCTCCAAAGTTCCTGGGCCTGCCAGGCCCTGCCTTCCAGGTTCCCAGTGTCCTGGGATCTCCAGCTTTCTCCCAGGACTTGGGGAAGCCTCGACTGGATGACTAGTACAAAGGAAGGCCCCTGAGGTTCCAGGAGCTGCTGAGGTCACAGGAATGTCCTGATCAAGCTTGACCAACCCACGGCCCGCAGGCTGCATGTGGCCCAGGACAGCTTTGAATGCAGCCCAACACAAATTAGTAAACTTTGTTAAAACATTATGAGATTTTTTTGCACTTTTTTTTTTTTTTTAGCTCATCAGCTGTCGGTAGTGTTGGTGTATTTTATGTGTGGCCCAAGACGATTCTTCTTCCAATGTGGTCCAGGGAAGCCAAAGGATTGGACACTCCTGTCCCAGATGGAGAGGAAGGAGGCAGTGCTGAGCACATCTGGCCGTCTGGCCATTCATCCATCTGGAGAGAGAAGGCTATGGGCAAACTGCCTCCTTCTCTCTCCTGTAGACACCCAACTGGGAAGGTCTGGCCTTTGGCTAAGTCCTGGCTTGGGGTCCTTCCTCATTTCACAGAACCTAGCTCTATGTTAGTGCTTTGTGAGTATATGTGGATCATAATAAAGTTGATGGGATTTTTTCACATGACAATAATAGTTGCCATCTGGCCAGGCACGGTGGCTTATGCCTGTAATTTCAGCACTTTGAAAGGCTGAGGCGGGTGGATCACTTGAGGTCAGGAGTTCGAAACCAGCCTGGCCAACATGGTGAAACCACATCTCTACTTAAAAAAAAGAAATATATACACACACACACACACACACACACACACACACACTAGCCAGGCGTGGTGGTGCACCCTTGTAATCCCAGTTACTCGGGAGGCTGAGGCAGGAGAATCGCTTGAACCCAGGAGATGGAGGTTGCAGTGAGCCGAGATTATGCCGCTACACTCCAGCCTGGGTGATGACCGAAACTCCATCTCGAAAAAAAGAAAAAAATAATAATAGTTTCCATCCATTCTACTGTGCTTTCCATTAACTCGTGTAATCCTCACAAGTCCCATTTTATACCTACAGGAACTGAGGCTCACAGAGCTTAAATCATTTGGCCAAGGCCACAAACAGCTATAAGATTTACATTTAGGCAGTCTGATTCCAAGGGTACTAGGCT